CAATTCTTATTTTACCCACTGTATATATATTACCCCCCATCAGCATAAAATGACCTTAACCACTGAAACATCAGCTTGTAGAAATCAAGTTATGTAGTTTCATATATTTTCAACAATTTAGCTTTTATTATTTTACCAAATAAATTAATGGAATCAGCATTTTTATAATCACTGTCCAAGTTATTCCACAATCTTATTCCTTGAACTGAGGTGTTCAGTGTGATTTGATCAAATCAAGGTCAGATTCAGGCATCAGCATAAGCAGCTCAAGTTATCTGTCGTCACACATCGACTGGGGGCTCTCCCCTATGGTGAAACTTGGCCCGTCATGTGTGCTTCCCTGACTGGAATTGGCTCCACTCACCTATTTGATGTAGAAGGTCACAGGCTAGATGTGTGTTCTGTCTGCCAATACTCCTCCCTTCATCTCTCATATATACCTTTGGAAAGCACACAAAAAAAGAGCATTCCTTCACACAACAACGATGAACATTGTGCAGCCTTATATGTGTGTGTCAGGGGTGTTATATCTGAAAGTGTGCTCCCTTCACCCCACAAGGATGCAGTCTGTGGTCTGAGCCTCCAGCACTGAGTCCATTTACAGTACTTAAGAGTGCAGGAGACATAATATGCTCACTTCATTAGGTCAGGAGTCTGTTGAATAATTGACTCACTCACATATTGTGGGTTCGGATGTGTGTTATTTAATCAAAGAGACCTGTGTACTTTCAAATAAAAGCCATCATTCCYTTTCCTGATTTAAAAAAGTGACATGATTTACCTAGATTGTTGGAACCTGTTAATTTTTTAGGTCAGCTGTTTTTTTCTCCTGGTTTGTTTCAGGGACCATCATTACACAGTTTCATATAAAGGCCTAACATTCCCTGAAGGATTAAATATCACTRTTTTTTTCTTTGTAAAGTTTTTTTAATTGTTTACAGGTACACTGTTTTATAGCATCATCTATCATTTTAGAATTTCACTCAATGTAATACTTCTGCTCTAGTTTCCTCCTGCAATTCTTATTGTTGAATCTTGATACAAAAGCTAAATTATTTGTACAGAACTATTAAAACTTTTGGGTTGGCTAAAGATTTTTTTTTTCGTAAATCAACTATTACAACATTCATTTTATATTTGTATTGTTGTTTTTGTAATACAAACAGGTTGAGTATCAGGGTTGCCCCAAATCTCTCAGCTATGGAAGAATAGATGAAGAATATGAAAGATGATGTGTTGAATTCTAAAACAGTCTTAGCTTTACTTCACACTTGTGTAATAAAGCCTCTAATAAGATTATTGAGCAACTCAGTGAGTTGTTGATTGAAGCAGCAGAACACATTCATAGAAGGGTTGGATCAGCTCAGACAAATAAAAACTTTCGGAAAAGATTGCGCAGAATTATAGACTAAACCAAGATCCAAACTGAGATGTAAAAAGAATGTGATTTTCTGGAGTTGAGGGGTCATCTAGGTAACGTTTTACTTGCTAAATTTTAAAATAGCCTGTTCAGTGTAAATCTAACGTGTTTTATATTAAATTAAAATTAGTCCTTGAAACAAATTCAGATGTATTCTAAATAAGAAATCAAACTTCACGCCCATCTGCGTCACAGCGCCGCCTGTGCGTAAAGTGACTGTGAAAATTGGATAATATATTTATTAGCACGTCCTGTCCTGTCGGGCGTGGCAGGCTGATCTGCCCGTGGGAGGGGAGGGGAGGTGGGGGATTCTGTAGCTGCTCTGCGCTCCAGGGCTGCTGCATGCTCCATGATGGATGAGGGATGACAGATCGGGGTTAGCKGCCAGGGGAGACCATCTTCCTCCCAGTGCACGGTCCAAGCGGAGCGGGAAGAGCAGAGCAGGAAGAGAGGCAAGATACTGAAGTCTACTCCCACCTCCCCTCCTTTTTTCCCTTTTCCCCTCCTCTCCACTTCAGTGCATCGCAGTCATAGCGGGGCTGTGCGCCGCATTGACGCTGCTGCTGCTGCTGCTGCTGCTGCTGCTGCTGCTGCTGACCCAACCCAGAGAACCACAGAGGATCTGAGCTTTTGGTTCAATCCACGGCTGGAAACTTGAAGCTTGAAGCTCCGCGGGTTGTGGAAATGCAGCGTTTTCATGCGTTTTCACCTTCTCTCATCCGAATGCTTTGACGGTTTTGAAGAATATTGCTCAACAGAACCGGGATCTTGGGATACAACTTTGCAGAGCCCGCAGATGTAGCGAGTTCTTTTGTATATTTTTATAATTTTTGCGCCGACATGATGGGTGTTGAACAAATCCACCAGCTGCCTTAAAGGTGTGAGGATGCACTCTCGTGAGGACTGAACGCGCATCATCTCTAGGATCATGCAGATTCTGCAGCTTAGGACGTTAGTTGTGCTCCTTGCCCAGGCGCACGTGCTGTTTTCCCTGAGGAATAATGAAAGCAAAGACGACAACAGCAGGACTTTCCACGGGCTGCCCCGGGAGGCTCGTAAGACCAAAGCGCGGGACCGCGCGCTGCCGGTGCAGTACGCCACAGGTGCGTCCTCCTCGGCTGAGCTGCCCYTCATTAGAGGGACCCTCAACTCCACACTCCCCTGGAAGAAGATGATTGGGGGGGAGATGAGGCGAATCGGGCACAACAAGTTTAATAGGAGCGTGACCCCCGAGGAGGACCCCAGCAGCGTCTCGCACTGGGACGCGACGCGCCGCCATAACAAGAGGATGAAGATGATTGGTGCTGCGAGCAGCACGGGGACGCCGGCAGGTGGACACTACAATGCGGCTAAGCCTCCTTCAATGGATCGGGAGGATGGAGGGGGGTGGGCAGAGGAGTGGGACACAAGAAGCACAAAGGAGGGGCAGAAAAAAATGGGGAAGAGAGGGAGAACCAGGCAGAACAAGAGCGTCCCGTCCCCATGGGAACCCATCCCCAAACCGGTGGCCCTCACCTCCACGGATCTGCCCTTTGACCTCTTCACCAGGAGGTCCGAGCTCTTCACTTTCAGGGAGGAGAACCCGTGGGACGCCACGCCMATCACTCCCCCGGGCTCGCAGGATTTCGGAGGTGAGATCAAGAACCCCTTTTATCCGGTGACGAGTGAAACTTTCGGCGCGTACGCGATCACGGGCGTCTCGGGCGTCATCTTCCTGGTGGGTGTCGCGGGCAACATCGCCATCCTGTGCATCGTGTGCCAGAACTACTACATGAAGAGCATCTCCAACTCCCTGCTGGCCAATCTGGCTGTGTGGGACTTTGTGCTCATCCTCTTCTGCCTCCCCATGGTGGTGTTCCACGAGCTGACAAAGTCCTGGCTGCTGGGAGAGTTTACCTGCAAAGTTGTTCCTTATGTGGAGGTAATGAATCCTGATGGGTTTTTATTTTTCTGCACCCTGACTGCAATTTAACAACTTCCAAATATATATATA